TTATACCCCTAACTTGCATGAATTCTCTAACTTGTCCATTGAAATGGAAAAGGTCACTGGAGTGCCACTACTACTCATAACCCCACAAATATATTTGTTTGCAGACTAGACAATTATCTTCAGACAAACTGGCATCCCTCCAGTCATGATCTTTCTATTTGACTGATTCATGTCTCCCAAGTTTGAAGCACTTATCAGGAACCAATTGAACAGACTCTAAAAGAGGCAGAAAAAAAACAATGAATCAAACATATTTTGAGTTTCTGGTTACTCATTATTTATAGTGAAATGGAGACTGACATTTATCTGGGAGTTTTTCCACATTATGTCCTATAATTAGTGGGTTTTGATGCTTAACCATTCAATGACATCATCACCACAAGTAAAGATGAGAGATGCTATTAAAAAAAAAAAAAAAATGATGCAAGCAATACAGAGAACATGCCGAGCAATACTGATTATATGGCAGACTCCAGACGTTACATTCACAGTTTCTTACTATATTATAATAATAATTAATATTTGTCTTGTGAGGCTAAAAATTTGAGATGCCAGTACTTAAAGACAGAAGGAATGACAGCAGGGAGAAAGGATGACATGTCACCACTATCACAACCTTTTCCTGCTGCTGACACTTTCTACAGATTCCATGCTCTGGCAATGAATTATACAACCTTAATACAATTCTAATTGCATTATGAGATTTGACAATATCCTCTCACAAACAAATGCTGTTCTGAGTTGGATTCAATAGAAAATATGCTCACTGTGCCAGAACTAATAACTAAAAATAAGATTTAACTATCTTCTAGGAAATGCTTTTCGTAAGAGGACAAGTCCTGTGGTCTGCCACACCATCTTGCCTAATGATACAAGGGTGATCTAACTAGGGTAAGCCAAAAAATTATCCAGCCTAGTCTCCTCCCTCAAAAAATAGACTTGACAGAACTCTTCATGGAGCATGTCTTTAACATCTGTGCTAGTGTCTTTCTCTACTAAAGGCAGCATCCAGCCCATCAAGACAGAGAGCCATCTGTTAATTGTGCCCCATGCCAGCTCTCCTAGACCTTGCTTTACTTTCCATCACTGCTACATTCCTCAAGCAATAGCAGCCACAACTTCTTGAAAGCATAAATACTTCCCTCTTTTTTTCTCTCTTTCTCTCTTCCTTTCTCTATTCCAGGGGAGAAAGGGATAGAGAGGGGAATGTGGGGAGGAGGAAATTCATCACACATCCTCAGTGCTTTCCTTTATGGCCAACCATAAAGTAATTGCAGCTAGTTCATCACCTCCACATCAGAAATTGTTTAATGAAACTTTTCATTCCCCTTCCCACCACCACTTTTTCAAGCTAGCAAGCACTAGCACTAGCCCATTCAGTCCCATTTTTCAGGAAAGTGGTTCAGCAGTCATATAATAGCTTTGACTTCCTACCTTTTTTTGTCCAACAGAGGTTGGAACAGGTGGGATCAGTACAGATGTTGACATATGTCTCTCTTGGCTTCTGGACAAAAAGAAGGGGAAAGCAGTTTCTGTGTTCAGCACCACCATGCTTTCGGCTGTCTCTTTGTCAGTGCCCCACAGCTAGAAATATAGGAGCTGAAAAGAGAGAGACAGAGGGAGGAGTTAGTGTAACTCTTCAGTGGGAGGTGGACAAGAAGAGCAAAAAGCTGAACAATAGATTAAGCTGATAATTAATGGCTGGTGAAGTTTCCCAGCTACCTGGAAACTTGCTCTTATCATATTTATCATTATTACTTTAGGTCTCTTCCAAAATAAAACACTAATCTTGCAAACTATTGTCAGAAGCATCTTCCAGCTTACCCTGAAAATGGATAAGCACAGGAAGAGAAAAATTAGTAAAATGCAAACTGAAGTGCTAAGAATATGCATTATCTAAGTGAGAAATTAAGCAACATGGAAAAACAAATTTTCTGATGAGTTGATTCCCATTTTCTTTCAAAGAGCCACAAGACATGTGGGTATTTCAGACACAAAAAGTAACTTAACCAGCCATCTTGGAAATACCATCTGCTCTGCTGCCTAGCCTGTTTCTACAAACCCAAGTTTGTTCCAAGGACTCCAGGCCAGCATCGCCCTTTTCTATTTGCATGATGTATGTCTGTCACTATAGAACACATGCAGATAAAGCACAAGTTCGGCCATCACTGTACTACAGTTAATTCTTTTACAAATGTTTTTCATGTCATACATCTGAACCTACGCTCAATTTTGTATGCTTGAAGTATGTAATGCCAATGAATCAGGCCTATCAGAAATGTTGTAATTTTTTTGTTAAATCTGTTTTTAATTAAAAACAAATATTAGATTTTCTAATTTATCCTTCTATTTCCTTGTATGTCTGCTTCACATGTTCAGGCTTTTTTCCACAAGAAGTCCTAAATCAAACTCTGAAACTGGGCAGTTCTATTCATCATCTGTCAGTGACTTATTCAAGGCAAGTGACTAAGCTCCATCTTTGGTAGCTGAGCCTATCAGATTTCTGGGAATCAGAAATCCATTCTCTCATATTTTATAGAGTCCAAGAGAGATTTTAGATAAATACCTATTTCATAAAATTTAAGTTTTAGTGTAGAACAGAGTGGACATTGGGAAACTACCCAACGTCTCTTGAAATGTGAAAACTCGCTCACACATCTGCACCTTCAGTATTTTTTTGCTGGCAGAGGAGAGCATTAGGAAACGGAAGAAATATTTTGTGCCTTAAATAAAATTCTGTTTTCTTTGAAGGGATATTCTAGGAAAGAAAAAATAAAAATAGAAAATAGTTTGTGTCTTTCTGATGTCTGGCAGTCTTCTAAAACTGGATTTGGTAGCAGGAGAGTTGGAGATGACTGGGTTTGAATACCTGTTACACTCAGTAGTCCTTCAGTTTCAGTTTTGCTGTATGAAATTTGATAAAAGAAAAAAAAGCCAGGTAATTTTCTAGGGAACTGCAGGATATCAGATATTCCCACAGCAACAAAACAAGCAGCTGGCATGTTCTCCTGTTCATCTTGGTCATTTTCCAACACATTTAGATTCTTTTTTTCTTCCTGTTTTACCTCTGTTGTGCACAGTCACAAACATACACACACTGAAAACTCATACAACCAGTTATTCTTTGTTTTCCCATTCGTATCCTAAACAGACAACCATGAAGTTTTGTATCCACGTATATAACATTTTCCATACTCTTGGGAAGTAAAAATGAGTTATCATTAAAAAGAAAATCATTTGATGAAAACATTAGCTTTAAGTGTTAGACCACTGGTAGTGCCTAGTGTTCTTTTCTCTTGGAAGTTTTACTGCCATACTTAACAAACACCTCTTCTTCACTAACAGGCACAAGATTAATGCAAAGCTGTATTCATTCCATACTGTTCAAAAGTCTTAAATTGGTTTGCATTGCATAAGCAGAGCCCACTTTTTTTCTACTTTCCTTTAAAAAATATCTAGCCCATAGCCTCAGTCTGGATATTGGTCATGTAGATGGCTGGATATTTGCTGTCAAGACATCTTTGTTTCATATATAAATTTTTCATTGTGCTTGATGATTTCCTTAAACAACAATTCCTTCTCAAAGCCTGAGAAATCCTCAGAAAATGTATACATGTGTATATACAGATACATTCTAATACATAATCTGTATTTCTATATTGTTACATGATATTTTATGTATACTTCTTTTTACAAAAACTGCATTTCCATTTATTCTTTCTATTCTTTCTCGGGATGAAAAGAAGGAAACAATCTTTCATGCCAGATTATTCACACATGTTAACATATTGCTGGAAATTATTTAGATACCATGGTGACAGCTGAAGTAACAATACTTGTAGTAAAATTAATAAATTCACTGAAAGAACCTGATTTTTCACCTTGTTGCTATCTTGGCACATACTATTCTTAGTTACTTCTCAAACTGATGGAAAGCTTATAGAATGTGTTAAGTGGATGCCAAGGGAACCTCCTTTTACCCATAGAACAAGTGCAAAAATTACTGAGAAGTTCCCATCTCTCCAGGGTTCTAATTCTGACCTAGGTGGGCCTCCTTCAGGATTAAAGTTGACTTCATCCCAATCATTCTAGTTCTATTGAGGCCACTCTTAAGGCAGCTAATTTGGAGGCAGCATGTCTAAAAACGCAGGTCAACCTACAGATTATGCAAATGCTTCCATGCTCTGTGGTTCACTACCCCAGTTGTTCCATGGCACCACCACGTGCATCATCCCTCTTATGTCCTGATTTCCAAGCAAGGTTTTCATGCCATTCTTTCAGTCTCAATAATGAAGACATACAGACTGTACTACAAGGTGTATCTACACCAAGTATTGCCAGATTCACAGAAACCACCTAACCTGCAAGCAACACTCAGATGAGGGTTCAACCCATCCTCTTGATTATTGAATCTAATTACTATTGAATTATGTCAAATTTCAAATGATTAATTTTGCTAGTAGTTCTTCAGACTTCTCAAATGAAAACAATTAGTTTCTAATATAAATGCTTACTTGTGGGTCTTGGCAAATTGATGCCACATGCACACATAAAATGCTAATCTTGTTACAGACATGATTTTATGTTAATTGTAATAATGAAAGTACAGAGGAGGAATCAGTCTCTTGGGTACCACTGCAGCACAAAGAGTGCTTCTCACTTTCAGAGTTTTGTTTTTGCCAGAGGAAAAGGCCCTTACATGCTCCAGAGCTCCCAATCCTGCCTGCCGCAGCCAGCTCTTTATGATTGTCACTGCTCATTTAAGCATTCAGATCATTCATGGCCTGTTAGGCTCTATGCTCCCCAGTGCACAGGTGACAGGCGTCTGTCTGTGTCACCAGTTTCAAGAGCACTGATCTCTTGGCAGCAGTAGAAGTTCAATAACCAGCTCACAGCAAAACATTCAGAAATGAAGCATCTAAGGCATTGACAAATGGCAGCAATGTTCTTGACAGTTGTCGACAGGGTCACACACCCAAGCAAAGCTTTCTTGTGAGCAAGCTACGAAAGTCTGCTACAGTCAGTTGTTCTCCGAAGGAAAGCCAAGCAAAGAAACCACCAAAACTCATTTGTCCTGAAGAAATATTAATCTTTTCAGGTATTGTGACTATTAATGCATGTAAAGTAGAGATAGATTCAAGCTTCCAGATAGAGATGCAGATCTGGATTAAAATTCACAACTATAACTTTCTTCCTGCTGAAAAAAATGCCTTTTCTGATTTGTTCAGCAGCCTGGGTCTGGCCTTATCTCTACTGCAGAGGCTTTACAGTGCAAGAAAACTTTTGTAGGAAGCACACTGGAAAAAAAAAACAAATCCTGTGTCAGAGAGTTTGAAACAGACTATGCATTGATTGCCTCCTGGCAAACAGAACTTGAATGTTCAGAGGTTCTGTTTTCATGGAAACAGTCCTAAACTGATGAGGAGTATTTTTACTGAACAGAGACCTTCTGAGGCAGGTGAAATTCAATATAGGCAACAAGTTACTGGTATGCTGATTTTTTTTCTGCTGAATGTGCAGAAGACTTTCCTCTTTCTCCTTGTACACACGTCATAAGGATGAACTTCTCACTCGAGCATTGAATCAGTTGTTGCATGATGATTATTTATACCAGCGGGGCTTAAATGTCATCAACATAGACTTACTTTGGACTGTAGCCAAGGTCTTAGTGGAAGTCTAACTGAAGTAGCCACCAAAAAAAGCCATCAGATTTGTAGTAGGCTGCACTCTGAACACTGAATTAAATGGACTGTGAATAATTCACAGTGTGATAAAAATTTGTATGTTAAAATATTTCTGAATTGCAGTAATTTTGCTGAACTCATCTCAGTAGCATGAACGTACAACTTCAAAAACATTAAACAACAATAGGAGCAAAAATTAGCACTAGTAAGAATAATGCCTGGAGGACTCAAATCTGATGCTTCTGTTTTGTTTAAAGCTCTCCAGAAAGATATTCAGTTTCTTTGCCTTTATGTTAGCATGTGATGCTATTTTATCTCCTGTGCAGTTTTTCTTCACAGCTGCTATCAACTTATGTGGTTTGAAGGCTTTTAATGTCTTACTTTTCCTTTCTTTCCAATTCTCATCATTAAACTACAAAAACTTGACTCTGAAAATATCTACCCATACCATTTTTAGCATTTTCTAACCAGGAAATATTTATTTACTGTTCCAGAACACATGTACAAATTTAAAAAGTACAAAAATAGCATTTGATGGATTGTGTTCTTCTGGATGCGGCTTCTTAATTTTCTTAGGGCTTCTGCTTACACATCTTAAAAACTGCAGAATTCAAAGTAGAGAAAAATGGTTTAATCTATTACTTAATGTTATATTGTAAATCCACAGTATCAAATATGGTGATATGCTTGCTTGGTTGGGTAGTGTCTCTGTTTCAGAGTTTACTTATAATCCCTTTCCGCAGCTTGTAATTCTATGCCACATTTCATGTCGTCACTTTTTGCTACATTTCCATTTACTCTGCCTTAGCTTGTTCTTTTCCTTCTTCTGATTGATTTTTCCATTTCTCACATATCGTTTATCTCAAGATACTGTGCTGACAACCTGTTCTCTGGTCAATGTCATTCTCTTTAATATCTAACTGTTCTCCCACTCTTTCTGCCCAGCAAGTTTTCAGCATGGTTCCTCAACTGAGTACAAGTATCTTCACATACCTCTTGATACATCTTTCATCTACCATTGCACAACTTCTTGTATCATTGGTGTTTAGACCAATAAAGCACTGCCCTTAACGACACAGTTCTACTTTCAACTTGCCACAGCAGGTTATTTCTCTGTAACTACTCAAATGTGATTTTATCTGATGAATTCGAGCTCCAATCTTAGTATTCTATCAATAATCATTTGGCATAAGAGTTCTGAAGCATTTAATACGACATGCTGCTTTTCATCTGCCTTTAGCTTCCTGAGCTTTAGTATTCATACAAATTCCTGGCTTCTTAAGAGCACCAATCATATTTTAAGCTCTTTTTCTTTGAAATGACCACGAACTAATAAATTTTACTATCCTCAACCAGTAAAATAGGCTCTGTACTTAGATGAACTGAGAACTGTGTGACAATTTCCTACAAAACAAATAGAGAAAATTCATTCAAAATATTCTGACATTAACCACTCTGTTAGAGTTTATGTACAAAATTGTTAAGCAATTTTTAATTTAATGAAAGACTGTAGATCGTTTACAAGTTCCCAGAGTCACTTAAGCTTTATGAGCAATCCTACTGTGCCAGGACAGGGGCAAAGCTAAATATCATTGCTGTAACTAATACACAAATTGCTCTGAAAGTAACACCTTTTTCCATTTATTTCCTTGGAAAATACAGCAGATACAAAGAGCACACTAACCACTTGATAGAGCAAATTCTCAACACTGATTTTCAACATAGTCACCACCATAAGTTGTGCATTTTTTTTGTTGATAAACAAGAGCCTGCACAGTGAAGGTGACTCATTGTTTCATAGTATTTCCCCACCCACTACTTCACTGTGTTCACATCCACTGTTTGATCTCTATAAATATTCAGCAAGAGTCGATGAAGGTCTGCAGGTGTTATTTTTTCTGTCTGGAGGTATTCTTACCTTTGCTTCTTATGCGCTTTCATGTCAGACATCATTCTGCCAGACTGCCCCTCTGCTGCCATCTATCACATAGCAAAACCTGTATTTAGCTCATTATAGGTGCTCATTAAAAGCTCACCTATGAAACTGGCAGAAAAAGAATAAATTTACAAAAAGAGGTTAAACGCAATCCTCCATGGGAATTCAAAAAATAACAAATCATGGAATTATTAAGGTTGGAAAAGACCACTAAGATCATCAAGTCAACCCACCCCACCATGCCTAGTAACCATGTCCTTAGTGCAACACCTACCCGTTTCTCAAACACCTTGAGGTGCAGTGACACCACCACCTTCATGAGCAGCCTGCTCCATTGCACTACCACTCCTTCTGAGAAAAAGTTTATCCAATAGCCAACCAGAATTTCCCCTAGCATAACTTGAGGCCACTCCCTCTCATCCTATCACCAATTATACAGGAAAAGAGGCTGACCCCCACCTGGGCACTGTCTCCTTTCAGGCAGTTGTAGAGACCAAGGAGGTTTCCCCTGGGCCTCCTCTTCTCCAGACAGAACAATCCCAGCTCTCACAGTAGCTTCTGGTAAGACTTGTGTTTCAGACCCTCACAGCTTCATTGGCCTTCTCTGAACACAATGCAGGGCCTCAATATCTTTCTTGTAGTGAGTGAGTATATTCTGTTGTATTTTTATCTGGTATTCCTGTTGTAATTATCCTTCTGGCTACACTTTAAAATACTTAATTCAATTAAGTATTGACAGATGAAGATATCAGGGGTTGTATAAATGCATGCAGCAAAAGAAGCGTGTTGGAAGAAGACCTTTTATGTCTTTGAATATAGTTTTGGCAGATGTCCTGATTGCAGTCACAATTTCTTTAATGTTCAGATGATCTCTCAGTGCTGTCTGCTCTCACTACACTGGCTGTAATTTATAAGATGTAAAGCTACAGATCCAGTTTTTGCTTATTAGTGGGAGTGTTGTTGCTCTATTAATACCTATTAAGTCTCTGAAATATATTAAAACTCACTTTCAACGCATTTGTCATGGAATGTTTCAGGCTGAAGAATATTAAATAAAGGAGCTAATAAGCAGGAAGCAAATTATACTGTCTAGAATCAAAAACAGGAAAAAAAAAATCTAAATGTGTTTAAAAGGCATAATTACATTTGCACCTGAGGAACATGCTAACGAGCTAGAAGATATTTGTAGAAAGTCAACACTTAAAAGGACATTACTGTTAATATAATCAACTAGTATTAGCAAGTAAACAAAATCCAAAGCAGCTGGAAGGTTAGCATTTATATCCCTACCTTACATTTCTAGAAGGCATAAATAAAAGCTCATGCTACACCAAGCGCCAATAAAGCTTAGTTACATCCCCAAATTCTGTGAGTAATAACCCTGAATTTTAATATGTATAAATGTCGGCAGGGTTTTGAGTCCACCTGATATGCCTTTCTGGCTAACAGAGAACAGAACTGTCTTTGAGTCTGTAACGTAAGTACTATACATCTAATTCAACCAAATAAGCAATATTCCAAACATTTAGAAAGAAGAATTATGCAAAGATTTTTAGCTGAGAAATAACCAATCTGAAAGTAATGGTAGGAAGAGCTTGAGAGGGAAAAGTACAGCCAGATGAGAAAGCAGAGGTGTGTGTGCAAGAAACGCAGTATAGTGCAGTAACTGTGAACTGCCAAAAAGAGAGTAAAACTGGAGATATTTTTGCTTGCCTGTTTCACGTGTCATGCACTGAAAAATAAGGGTGAAAGAATATCTGACATGAATTTTCTAACTTCTGATTCCAAGTATGAATAACTTACAATTCTTCAATAGAAACAACAAATGAGTGCAATGTACCAATGGTTTTCCAAGCAGCTCAGGTAGAAGACAGCAGACCTGCACCCTACATACATTCCAGCACCACTCAAAATGCTTTCCTACAGTATCACCAGAGCTGAATGCTTCCAGATGCCTCCTGTGATATCTCTAAAATTATAACAGTGACACACACGTAATTACACCAAAAAAATAGAGAGGAAAAAAAGGGACATTGACCAAAAAAAAAAAAATGCCACAATAACAAAAAATCTTAAATGATGAAGTCAAGAAAGAAATACAAAAGGTCTTGTTACTACACTAAATTTGTTGTCTTCAGCACAGATGTGACTACTTTGCCATTCTACTTCTGTTTAAAACACTGGTTTGTAAAAAAATAACAATCTTACTTCAGTCAGTTCTTTAGCAGATCATGGGAAATATTTCTCTCCCTTTTACTCTGGAATGGTAACAATTCTCTTCCCCTTTGTTGATTGTTTTCAGTTTCATAAAAATAAATAGCCACCAATAAAAAAAAATCTTGATTATTAATTTTTGTACATGTTTTCCTCACAATATTAATTTCTCTATCAAAAATTTCCTTAGGATATAATAAGCTAAAAAAATTTTCAAGCAAGTAAGTAGTCATGAGGATTTATTTATTCTTATAAGTATTTTGT